ATGCTATAGGGTTTCCTGCCTAAGCAGGGGGTTGGACTAGAAGACCTTCAAGGTCCCTTCCAACCCTGTTACTCTATTCTATTCTAAATATGAATTCTTTAGGCAGTATTTTCCCCCCTGCTCTCATGATCCCATCTCTGCAGGGGAGGGGACCCGTATCGCCTCTATAACTTGGACGTCTTCCAGTATGAGCTCTACAACCCGATGGCGCTCTATGGATCCGTCCCTGTGTTGTTGGCTCACAGCGCCCAACGCACCCTTGGCCTGTTTTGGCTGAACGCAGCCGAGACCTGGGTGGACATCACCTCCAACAGAGCTGGCAAGGTAAGCGGAGTGGGCTTTCCCCTGCTGCATTAGGCAGGGAGTCCTCGACCTACGGCCACGATGGAGCCCCAAACGCCCGCGGCTAAGCGGGACGTTTGCTGAGTGACCTTTTGTCCCCTTTTTGCGACTTTTCTTGCCACCGTCGTTAAGAGAATCGCCTCAGGAGTTAAAGTTAATCACACGGTCGTGAAACGGATCCAGCTTCCCCTTTTGACCTTTGAAGGTTGCCCAAAGAGGCTCATGTGAGCCTGGACCGTCATAAGTACGAGTCAGTTGCCAAGCATCTATCTGATCATGGGAATGCTGCAATAGTCATAAGGGTGATCAACGGTCCTGGGTCACTTTTTTCAGTGTTTTTGTCCCTTTGAAAGGTCGATTAACACCTGTTTGTAAGTTGAGGACTTCCTTTTAGGATAGGTGAGTTATTTACCTCAAGGGTCTCCAAATTTGGCAAACTTTTAAGGCTTGTAGACTTCAATCCCTGGCTGCTGGCTGGGGAATTCTGGGAGTTGAAGTACATAAGTCTTAAAATAGCCAATTTGGAAACTCTGATTTATAGTAACCTTGCTGGCTGGAAAATTCTGGGAGTTGAATTTCACAAGTCTTAAAGTTGGAGACTTCTGATTTATAGTAACCTAATTGGCGGGAAAATCCTGGGAAAACAAGTATTAAAGTTGCCAGTTTGGAAACACTGATTTATAGTAAGTTTGCTGGCTGGAGAATTCTGGGAGTTGAATTTCACAAGTCTTAAAGTTGGAGACTTCTGATTTATAGTAACCTAATTGGCGGGAAAATCCTGGGAAAACAAGTATTAAAGTTGCCAATTTGGAAACTCTGATTTAAATTTGCTGGCTGGAAAATTCTGGGAGTTGAATTTCACAAGTCTTAAAAGTTGCCAATTTGGAAACCTCTGATTTGCAGTATCTTAGCTGACTGGGGAATTCTGGGAGTTTTAAAGCTGCTTAAGGTTGAGAAACACTAATCCAGAAGTGTTCCCTGCCCCCCTTCCCTTGCAGACCATGTTTGGGAAGATGCTAGATTACATACAAGGCGGAGGAGAAACGCCCCAAACAGACGTTCGCTGGATGTCGGAGAGCGGAATCATAGACGTGTTCCTTCTGCTGGGACCTTCACCTGCGGACATTTTCAAGCAGTATGCATCCCTCACAGGTGAGCTGAGTGGGAATCGGGGCGATCCCAAGGACAAACGGCAAGAAGAGAGGCTGGGTTAATCGATCCAATCCTCTGCATTCTGTAATAGAATGAGAATGAGAATAAGAATAAGAAGACGAATAGAATAGAATTAATAGAAATGGAAAGAGTAGAATAGAATAGAAATAGAGATAGAAGACGAATAGAAGATGAATAGAAGACGAATAGAAGATGAATAGAATAGAATTAATAGAAATGGAAAGAATAGAAATTAGAATAGAATAGAAATAGGATAGGATAGAATAGAATAGAATAGAATAGAATAGAATAGAATAGAATAGAATAGAATAGAATAGAAAAAACAAACAGTTATAAACTCACTTTTTTTCAGGCCCTTTGTAACTTTGAACAGTCACTAAATGAACTACTGTAAGTCAAGGACTTCCTGCATAAGGCGAGGCCTTCCCTCCGTGTGAACAGGATGTGATGTCCCAAAGGAGCATGGCACAAAGGCAACGCAGTCAGATAATCAGCAGGAGTCCCTTTATTTGCTCCAACTTTGCCCCCAATGTCCTGGTTACCTTCTGGGCTGGAGAAAAACTCTCCCAGGAACAGCCTTTGGCTGCAGGGAATCAAGTCCAAAAGGTGGTCAACAAAAACTGTTAACTATAAGTCCAATCAAGGCAAAATGAGGTCATTAGTCCAGCAGGGCAGGAGGAGGAATTCTGGATGTGAAAGCAATAACTCAACACGGTTGGGAAGACGCCAAGAACGCAGATAACTAAAGTCAACACAAGATAAACTCACATTCGCTCCCAGCAGACACTGCACTCAGCATGGATCTCTTTTAAACTCTCATTCCCAGCTGTGGCTAATGAAGGGAATCAGGGCCCTTTCCTCCCCCGTAAGCCATGCAACCCACGTTGCTCCCTTCTCCGTTCCTCCCTGCGTGCCCTAGGATGAAGGGGTGGGTCCCACTCTGAACTCCCTCTCCCTTGCTCTACCTCTCTCTCTCCCCTGCTGTGCCCAGCAGACTTTGCCCTTCCCCAGTTTCCTCCACAGCCAACCGAGTCACGCTCCCATTCCCCTGTCATCTGTTCGGATTCAGACTCCCGACGGGGGCATGATAGGCAGACCTCCAGACCTTCTGTGTGTTCCTCCTCCTCCAGGCACCCAGGCTCTGCCTCCGCTCTTCGCCCTGTCCTATCACCAGAGCCGCTGGAACTACAACGATGAGGAAGATGTCACCGCGGTGGACAACGGCTTCGACGAGCACGACATCCCCTACGACGTCATCTGGCTGGACATCGAGCACACCGACGGCAAGCGCTACTTCACCTGGGATGCCAACAAGTTCCCCCACCCCCAGGAGATGCTTCAGCGGCTGGCAGCTAAGAGGAGGAAGGTAAGGCGGGACCAAACCGCCCCTCTCAAACCTTCCTGGGGTTTGGGGACTTTCTGAAGGCCTCGTTGTTGGCCTGCGGTTTGGGTACAAGGAGAAGAGACGGGTGGTAACTTGGAGTTCGGCTGTGGGGGTTCTTTGGTACTCTTTCAGCTTGCTGCAGACGTTTCGAGACCCGGCTAGGGAACATCATCAGTGCTAGAAGGGAGTGGAGGAAGAGGAAGAGAACTGTGGGGTCCTTGGGGTTCTCTGAGCTTCGTTGTTTTCTTGCAGACGTTTCATGACCCAACTAGGGAACATCATCAGTGCTTCTGGGTTGGGTCATGAACTGTCTGCAAGAAAAACAACCAAGCTCAGAGAGCACCAAGGACCGCCACAGTCCTCCTCTTCCCCCTCCTCCTCTGAAGTTGTGACTGCTCCCGTTGCTGGAGGTTTTTAAGATCAGACTGGACAGCCACGTGTCTGAAATGGTACTTAAGATCTCGTGCTTGAGGGGAGGAATTGAACTAGAAAACCTCCAATTCTTATTTTCTGATTCCTTCCTCTGCAAATGCCATTCCCTTCTGGCACTGATGGTGTTACCCACTTGGGTCATGAAATGTCTGCAAGGAAACAGCACCAAGGACCCCATAATTCTCCTCTTCCTCCTCCTTCCCCTTCCAGCACTGATGATATTATCTAGTTTGGTCATGAAACGTCTGCAAGGAAACCACCAAGCTCAGAGAGAGAGAAGGACCCCACAGTCATTGTCCTCCTCCCCCTTCCTCCTCCAATTCCACAAATCCCATTCCCTTCTGGCCCTGATGGTGTTACCTATTTGGGTCATGAGACGTCTGCAAGGAAACCACCCAGCTCAGAGAACACCAAATGCCCCAGAATTTGGCTAGTCCTGGCATGGCCGTGATCTAGAACCCAAACTAAAAAATAGATTTGGTGAAATAGGAGCAGTTGTCTCCCTGGGGTATATTCAACTCGATGGGTATATTAACGTTACCCCTTTTCAAGTCCATCCACCCCAATCCATGTTATTCGTCTTTCACCCAGATGGTGAGCATTGTAGACCCGCACATCAAAGTTGACACCGGCTACCGAATCCACAATGACATTCGCTCCCGGGGCCTTTACATCAAGACCAAGGACGGGAATGACTATGAAGGCTGGTGCTGGCCAGGTGAGGAAAAAGCTGCAGGATGCCTCCAGGTGTCAGTCAAGAGTGACAAAGATGAGTAGGGGGCCGGAGGCTAAAACACACGAAGAGCGATTGCAGTCTAGCGAAGAGAAGGACCAGGGGAGACAGGATAGCAGTCTTCCAATATCTCAGGGGCTGCCCCAAAGAAGAGGGAGTCAAGCTATTCTCCAAAGCACTTTGAAGGCAGGACAAGAAACAACAGGTGGAAACTCATCCAGGAGAGAAGCAACTTAGAACTTAAGAGAAATTTCCTGACAGTGAGAACAATTAACCAGTGGAACAGCCTGCCACCAGAAATCGTGGCTGCTCCATCACTGGAAGTTTTTAAGATGAGACCGGACAGTCATTTGTCTGGAATGGGATACGGTTTCTTCCTTGAGCAGGGGGTTGGACTTGATGACCTCCAAGGTCCTTTTCCATGTCTGTTATTCTGTAAAGATGGTTGGCTTCTTCCTGGCAGCTTTGGGCAGGAGTAAGGTGAGCCTCCGAAATGCTGATAACCAATTTCTTTTGACTCCCCCTGGGCTTTGTAAAGCCAGAAAAGGCTAAATCCCAACTTTTATCTCCATGTTTTGGATCAGAAGTCTCCATTTTGACCCCTTTTAACGATGGGTTAATCTCTCAGAATTCTATATGTTTCCGTTGCTTTCCCGGTTTCCTTGACTGAACTCAACAACTTCTTTCCTTTTGTGTGTGTCAGAAGCATCACAATGAAACTTAAGGCCTAGCACGCAGCGTCAACTTTAAAATAACAAGATTAAAATACGTACAAGTTAAACAGAAACCGGTCTAGAAACTAGTAAATATCTGTTCTGTTCTGTCCTTTCTCCGTCTCAGGTTCAGCAGGCTATCCGGATTTCACCAACCCTCAGATGCGTTCCTGGTGGTCCAGCATGTTCGCTTACGACCAATACGAGGTAGGGGGGGGCTTCCTGCTTTATTCAGATCTTTCTTCTGTTCTTCCGCTTCTTCCGGTCACTCAACTTCCCCTTTGACCCCAGGGCTCCACGGAGAATCTCTACACCTGGAACGACATGAACGAGCCTTCGGTCTTCAACGGTCCCGAGGTGACGATGCACAAGGACGCCATCCACCAAGGGGGCTGGGAGCACCGCGACGTGCACAACCTGTACGGCTTTTACGTGGTGAGGGGCCCTCTCGTCGCGGAGTGGGTTTTTTTTGGGGGGGGGGGGAAGGAACGCCAAGTGAGCCGTTAAATGAGGAGAAGCTTGATGGAGAGAAAGAAGACCGAGGCAGCCGGCAAAGGAATATGCCTCCAACCCAGGGTCTCCACCCAATTCACAAGGTGGAAGAGGGGAACCATATTCCAATTGGAATGGAATGGAATGGAAAATAGAATAGAATAGAATAGAAAATAAGAATAGAATTAGAATAGAATTAGAATAGAATAGAATAGAATAGAATAGAATAGAATAGAAAATGGAAGGGAAGGGAAGGGAAAGGAATGGAATGGAATGGAATAGAGAATAGAATAGAGAATAGAATAGAGAATGGAATGGAATGGAATGGAATAGAATAGAAAATGGAGTGGAATGGAATGGAATGGAATGGAATGGAATGGAATGGAATGGAATGGAATGGAATAGAATAGAATAGAATAGAATAGAATAGAATAGAATAGATGTTGGAAGGAATAGAATAGAAAAGAATAGAATAGAAATAGAAATAGAATAGAATGGAATGGAATAGAAAATAGAATAGAGAATAGAATGGAATGGAATGGAATAGAAAATAGAATAGAATAGAAAATAGAATAGAAAATGGAGTGGAATGGAATGGAAGAATGGAATGGAATAGAATAGAATAGATGTTGGAAGGAATAGAATAGAAAAGAATAGAATAGGAATAGAAATAGAATAGAATTCTTTATTGGCCAAGTGTGACTGGACACACAAGGAATTTGTCTTGGTGCAAATGCTCTCAGTGTACATAAAAGAAAAGGCACATTCGTCTAGAGTCAAGAATCATCAGGCACAACACTTAATGATGGTCATAGGGTATAATAAGCAATCGAATCATACTAGGAAACAGTCAAGATAAATCATTAGGATACAAGTGACAGAGTTACAGTCATACAGTCCCAAGTGGGAGGGGTGGGTTGATAGGAACTACAGGAGGATTAATAGTAGTGCAGACTGTAAAATGAGGTAAAGACTAACTTAGCAAATGTCCGGCTTAACAACCAAAGTTTGGGGCTCCCTTGTGGCCATAAGCTGAGGACTCCCTGTATTTCCTAGACCCTGCTGGGGTTGAGCCCGGATCCAAGTTTCAACGCTTTGAATGACCCTCTTTTCTTTCTTCCTCCTGGCAGCAAATGGCCACCGCGGAGGGCCAGGTGCAGCGGTCTGGCGGCCTGGAGCGGCCCTTCGTCTTGACCCGAAGCTTCTTTGCGGGTTCACAACGTTACGGTGAGTGGTGGGATTCAAACTTTTCTTTTTCTGCCGGTTCCGTGGGCATGGCTTGGTGGGCCTGGCAGGGGGAAAATACTGCAAAATCCCCACTCCCTCCTCACCCCACTAACCTTCTTTCCAGCTCCGTTCTCTTGTGCAGGGCCACCAGAGGAGACGCAGCCAATCAGCTGGGGCTCGATGGGAGGCGGAGAATAGATGGGGGCGGGGCCACTCAGAGGCTGTATCGGCCGGTTCTCCGAACTACTCAAACTTTCTGCTACCAGTTCTCTAGAACCGGCTGAATAACCACCTCTGGTTACGATTAGTGGCATTAAAGACGAGAGATGGAGAGTAGCTGCGTAGTAGTCTTCCAAGCCAGGCTTGGGGGAGATGCGGGGGGACAGATCTTGAAGCCCCCAAGTGTGTAAGGATGTTGGGAAAAGACAGTGGCGTCGAGTCACTTCTCAAAATTTATCTCGGAATCGGCAGTTCACCACAACGTCGTTGTTAGTTGTTGTTACAGTTTGTGGTTGCTCTCTTTCGCAGGGGCTGTATGGACCGGCGACAATGCAGCTGAGTGGGACCACCTAAAAATCTCCATCCCCATGTGCCTGAGCCTGGGTTTAGTGGGCATCTCTTTCTGTGGAGGTAAGCCGGGGACCTCCGAGTAGCGGCCGTCCTTGACTTATGACCATTCGTTTAGTGACAATCTCTCTCTATATAAAAGCGAAATACCCCTCAAGCATCGTCACAAAATCTCCAGAACCGTAAAGCCTACAAACTTGGCAAATTCGGCACGTGTGTTCCTCTTGGTTTCTAGGGGCTCACTAAGAAAGGATTTTTCCAAATGACTATCAGAGCATTTAGAGTATTTCCTATGTTATTATTATTATAATTATTATTAACACGCTCTGATGCTAAGGAGTTCTACTCCCCCTCCTCACCTGGAAAGAGTTTTCTCCACACGGAACCGTTCTTCTTCCCTGCCATGTTTAGCTGACGTGGGCGGCTTCTTCAAAAACCCGGAGCCCGAATTGCTGGTGCGCTGGTACCAAGCCGGAGCCTATCAGCCCTTCTTCCGGGCACACGCCCACGTGGACACCACCCGCCGGGAACCCTGGCTCTTCGGGGACGAGAACAAAGCTCTGATCCGAGAGGCTGTGCGCGAGCGTTACGCTCTGCTCCCCTTCTGGTATACCCTCTTCTATCAGTCTTACCGGACTGGCCAGCCTGTCATGAGGTGAGTTGGAAGGACCGGGAAAGAGATGGAAGGGAGCGTGGTTCGGGTCCGTATTTCGCACGGAGCCCATTTTAGCTAGGGGATTTTGGGAGTTGAAGTCCACCCATCTTAAAGCATGCAAGGTGGGGGATTCTGGGAGTGGAAGTCCATCCAGGAAAACTTGCAGACCTGGGAATTGAAATCTATTCATTTTAAAGCATGCAGACCTGGGAATTCTGGGAGTTGAAGTCCATCCACCTTAAAAGCATGCTGGCTGGGGGATTCTGGGAGTGGAAGTCCATGAAAACTTGCAGACCTGGGAACTCTGGGACTTGAACTCTATTCATTTTAAAGCATGCAGCCCTGGGAATTCTGGGAATTTAAGTCCATCCATCTTAAAGCATGCAGACCTGGGAATTCTGGGAGTTGAAGTCCATCTTAAAGCATGCAGAGTAGAGGATTCTGGGAGTGGAAGTCCACCCTTCTTAAAGCATGCATACTGGGGGATTCTGGGGGTTGAAGTTCTGCATCATTTCCTCAGTCTAGCCATGGTGTCGTATGATGTTTTCTTATTTCGACCATATTAATTCTTGCTTTTTGCTCTCTGACAGACCGCTGTGGGTTGAATATCCCCAAGATCCCACCTTGTACCCCATTGATGATGAGTATCTGCTTGGTGAGTGTGTGTGTGTCTGGCTGTCAGTCAGTCAATCAGTCAGTCAGTCAGAACCAGGAATGGCAAGGATGTAATCCTACTTTCTGGCCCCAATTGTAGCTCCCCACAGTCATAGGACCACGATTTTCATTGTTTTTAACCGGAAACTAGCATTTATGGTTTCCAGCAAAAAAAACAAAAACAAACAAACCCAACAACTATCTGTTTGCTATAACGGGTTTATTTAAAAGCCACGATGTTTGTTTAATGTCACCCCCCCCCTAAAAAAAAGTTTGTAAAATCGAGCATGGTCATTTGGTGACCTGCTTAATGTCTGCCACAACTTAAGAACTTTAATTCTGGATTCAGTTACGGTCATAAGTCGATTTTATGACTGGAAATAATGACAGGCAGTAATTTGGTTCCTTTTTCAAGGGAGAAGGGATGTGGCTGCTGCTGCTAGAATATGACTCGTTTTTGAAATGCAGTAAACAGTTCCTTCAAGTTTCTAGATCTCATTGACCGTCTCCTTTACAGGCGATGCACTGTTAGTTCATCCAGTAACTGCCCAAGGAGCTCGGGGTGTACAGGTGTATTTACCTGGCAAAGGAGAAGTAAGTGTGGCTGTTGGCTTTGGACTGAGCTATTTACTTATTAGATGGTTATCCCTTCTTTATTTTTTAAGTAACTCAAAACAGTGGACGTTCCTAATGCTCCTTCCTCCTCCTATTTTCCCCACAACAACCCTGTGAGGTGGGCTGGGCTGAGAGAGTGACCAAAGCCACCCAGTTGGCTTTCATGACTAAAGGGGGGACTAGAATTCACCGTCTCCCGGTGATTGGCTCAAAGTCACCCAATCTTTTTCATGCCTAAGGTGGGTCTAGAACTCACCGTCTCCTGGTGATTGGCCTAAAGTCACTCAGTCATTTTCATGCCTAAGACGGGACTAGAATTCACCGTCTCCTGATGATTGGCCCAAAGTCATCCATGTGTTTTTATGCCTAAGACGGGACTATAATTTACTATCTCCTGGTGATTGGCTCAAAGCCAGCCAGTTGGCTTTCATACCTAAGGGGGGGACTAGAACTCACAGTCTCCTGGTGATTGGCCCAAAGTCACCCAGCCATTTTCATGCCTAAGACGGGACTAGAACTCACAATTTCATTGTTCACAGGCGAGCACTTTACTCACTATACCAAAATCTCTCTCTCTTTCTCTCTCTTTTCCTTTCCTTTCCTTTCCTTTTTCCTTTTTCCTTTCCTTTCCTTCTTTCCTTTCCTTTCCTTCACTTTCCTTCCCTTTCCTTTCCTTTTTCCTTTCCTTTCTTTTTTCCTTTCCTTTCCTTTCCTTTCCTTTCCTTCACTTTCCTTCCCTTTCCTTTCCTTTCCTTTCCTTTCCTTTCCTTTCTTTTTTCCTTTCCTTTCCTTTCCTTTCTTTTTTCCTTTTTCCTTTTTCCTTTTTCCTTTCCTTTCCTTTTTCCTTTCTCCTTTTTCTTTTCTCCTTTTTCCTTTCCTTTCCTTTCCTTTCCTTTCCTTTCCTTTCCTTTCCTTTCCTTTCCTTTCCTTTCCTTTCCTTCACTTTCCTTTCCTTTCCTTTCCTTTCCTTTCCTTTCCTTTCCTTTCCTTTCCTTTCCTTTCCTTTCCTTTTTTCTTTATGTTACAATTGGCTGGAAAAAAAAAAAAAGAATTCCCTTCCAAAGAAGAATATGAAATGCAGATCCCTATTAAGAAGAACTTTCCTCCCCACTGAACTTTAGAGCAGTCGCGTCATCTCAGAATAAACCGTTTTCAGCCCCCGGGCAGCGCAACTGTTAACAAACCGCACGTTTATCTTATGAAAACAAGCTGTCGGAAGAGGAGTTTGTCACCTCTCCAGAACTCTTGTTTTTTTGGCCTCTTGAAGGAAACGCAGCTTTACAACGGTGGCTTGGCCGGGTTTCAAACCGACATCCTGCCAAGAGATTTCTTTTGTGTGTGTGTGGTTTTTTTTCTCTTCATCCCGTCGATCTGGCTCACCGAATCCTCTAAACGATTTTTTTCTTTTGGCAGGTTTGGTACGACGTCCACACCCACCAGAAACTCCACGCCCCACAGACATTTTATTTGCCAGTCACTATGAGCAGCGTAAGTCCGAGATTGGGGGTCGAATTAGGCACGGCCACCCTCTCAAAGAGCCGAGGGGTGTGTGTATGTGTCCTCCCCCCGTGCCCCCAATGCAGACCTCCAAAATATGCTCAGCCCAACCTGTCTCACACGTGGGAAATCAGGGAGCCAAAGCGGTTCCGATAAATACAGGTAGTCCTCGACTTACGAAAGTTTGTTGAGTGACCGTTTGAAGTTGCAACGGCACTGAAAAGAAGTGGCTTAGGGCCGTATTTCACACTTAGCGATGGTTACAGCCTCCCCCAAATACAGCCGTTTTGACGACTGGCTTCATATTTATGACGGTCGCAGCATTCCCACACGATCGACCGTCTTGACAAGCCAAATCCATGTTGGGAAGCCCGATTCATTTAACAGCCGGGTTGACTCGTTTTAACAACTTGGCACCGATTCACTGATTCAACCAGAAGTGTGGTGAGATGGGGCCGTTTCATAAATCTCTCGCTTAGCAATGGAAATTTTAAGTGCCACTGTGGTCGTAAGCCGAGGACCACCTGTACAGGTTGATGACACGATGACCCTCTACAGGGTTCCAAACGATTAATTTTCAAAGGAGATTGGCAGGTAGATAAAGAGTCGGTGAAATTCCAGGTGGGCTGGACTTCGAGATCTCCCGTGGGCTCAAAGGGACTCGAGATTGCTGACGCGTTTGACCCTTCCTTCGTTGTCCATCTCACCCTCACTGAACTCGTTTTTCGTTCCCAAAGATTCCCGTCTACCAGCGTGGGGGCAGCATCGTGGCTCGGAAGGAGCGGGTCCGGCGTTCTTCAGACTGCATGCAGGACGATCCGTACACGCTCTACGTGGCTTTGGGCCCTCAGGTGAGGTTGGATGGGTTTGGAAGGCTGCATTAAGACAATCAGTTGGGATAACGCCATCAAGGATGTTATCCCCGCCAGGCCCTAAGATATGGTCTAAGTGTACATAAAAAAAGGAAAAAAATACATTCATCAAGAATCATAATATACAACACACAATGATAGTTGTAGGTTATTAAATAAGCAGTCAAATCATACTAGGAAACAAATAAAACAATATAAATTGTAAAGGTACAAGCAACAAGGTGAAAGTCAAAAGTAGAAAAGGAGATAGGTAATAGGAAGGATGAGAAGAATAATGGTAATACAGCCTTAGTAAATAGTTTGACAGTGTGGAGGGAATTAGTTGTTTAGCAGAGGGATGGAATTTGGGGAAAAACTGTCCTTGTGTCTAGTTGTTCTGGTGTGCAGTGCCCTATGGCATCATTTAGAATAGAACAGAAAATAGAATAGGAATAGAATATAGAATAGAATAGAAAATGGAACAGAATATAGAATAGAATCGAATCGAATAGAATAGAATAGAATAGGAATAGAATATAGAATAGAAAATGAAATAGAATATAGAATAGAATAAAAAATAGAATAGGAATAGAATAGAATAGAAAATAGAATAGGAATAGAATATAGAATAGAATAGGAAATGGAATAGAATATAGAACAGAACAGAACAGAAAATGGAATAGGAATAGAATATAGAATAGAATAGAAAGTAGAATAGGAATAGGAATAGAAAATGGTATAGAAGAGAGAATAGAAAAGAAAATAGAATAGGAATAGAAAATAGAATACGGAATAGAATAGGAATAGGAATAGAAAATAGAATAGAATGGAAAATAGAATGAATAGAATAGATTGTAGAATATAATATACAGAACAGAACAGAACAGAACAGAACAACTTTACTGTCACTAGCCTGCCCTGAGTCCAATCATTTGGGTTTCTACTTCTCTCAATCCCTCCAGGGAACCGCCCAAGGGGAACTTTTCATTGATGACGGACACACGTATAATTTTGAGACGAAAGGAGAATACCTGCACCGCCTCTTCCGTTTCTCTGGCAACGTCCTGACAGCCAGGTACCCAGTCTAGGAGTTGTTTTTATACATCTATATCTATATCTATATCTATATCTATATCTATATCTATCTATCTATCTATCTATCTATCTATCTATCTATCTATCTATCTATTAATATCCTATAATAATATCCTGTTCTCCCTCCGCCTGAATCATCTGGCAACCCCTTTTCCTTCCGTCTGAATTCCCCAATTTTTATTTCAGCTCGGCAGATCCGAAAGGCAGTTTTGAAACCCCGGCCTGGATCGAACGAGTGGTCATTCTCGGTGCGGGCAAGCCAGGGGCAGTCTTCCTCAAACAACAAGGTGAGTCGGTGGGAAGGCCAAAATTACACCATGTTTCCTGTTTGGGATTGAAATAGCAAGTGATTCCCTTCCCTGGATAGCAGCTTATCAAGCCACCTAGAACTAAGGAGGAATTTCCTATCGGGGAGGACAATTGACCAGCGGAACAGCTTGCCACCAGAGATTGTGGGTGCTCCAACACTGGAGGCTTTTAAGAAGGGACTGGACAACGAGCTTCGAAGTCAGTTGGCTTTGGGCCAGTTTCACGTGTGCAAACTGTCTGTGTGTGTTCGTACGGTGTTTTGTGACATCCTGGAGATTGTGGGAAGTAGGTACGTCTAGTCCAAGGCTCTTCCAACTTGGCAAGTTTAAGACTTGTGGACTTCAAGTCCCAGAATTCCTGAGCTAACAATGACTGGAGGAGGAGGAATTCTGGGAGTTGGAAGTCCATAAGTCTTAAAAGCTGTCAAGTTTGAAGGCCCCTGGTCTAGTCTAACGAAGAGAAAGACCAGGGGTGACATGATAGCAGCCTTCCAATATTTGAAGGGCTGCCCCAAAGAAGAAGAGGGGGAATGGGGGGGTCAACCTCTTCTCCAAAGCACCAGAAGGAAGGACAAAAAGCAACGGATCAGGGAAAGAAGCAACCTGGAATTAAGGAGAAATTTCCTAATAGAACAATTAATCAGTGGAACAGTTTGCCACTGGAAGGTGTGAATGTCCAACACTAAAGATTTTCAAGACGAGATTGGACAACCATTTATCTGGAATGCCGTAGGCCAGGGTCTCCTGCTTCAGCGGGGGGGGGGGGGGGGGGGGGG